TGAATTACTGCTACCATAGGCTTTTAAAGTGAGTGCCCCAATCCTTCACATTCCAAGCAAAACAGATCTTAAAAACAGGGAGTTATAAAGCCTTGAGCATGTCAGGGAGCTTTGTATAAACTCCTCATAAAATGCTTTATCATCTAAGATGAATGATGAAGGTAATGGACAACCATGAAACTATGTCATTGTTCTTTCTCTGATATTGATGTTGACCATAATCAGAGACATCAAGGCGGGCCCAGCATACTTTATGTTTGACTGCATGATGCCATTATATTTTCTTCCTTCTATACCCCACAGCTTCCTTGGGTATTGAATTATTATTTTTTCCTTTTTCTTATTACTGAATGGAAAAGCTCCTTCACATCCATCACACACAGAACACTTCAGGAGTCTGCAGAAACTCATCTTGTGTTCTTTATTCCACCCCAAGGACACTGTTCTGAATGCAGCAGAGAAGGAGGAGGAGAAAAAAAGCCCTTCTGTCCATAATTAACATCTTACACATCCCAGAGGTCTGTAGCAGGGCCTGGCATTTAATGCTTTGCGCAGCTAATAGGCAATCAAGCGAACTTTCACTTGAGGATGGAGTCAGGGACTTTCCTTGCTGCTCTTTAAACCAACAAACCCAGATACAGAGAAACTACAAAGGAATGATGGAAGATGAGGATGAGGGCGAAAATTATTTCTTTGGAATGCTCTATATTAAAATATCTGGCTTCCCTTAAAAGGCAAGGTGGTCCTCATTTAGTGACTGCTCCGTTTAGTAATTGTTCGCAGTTACAATAGTGATAAAAAATAACTTTATGTTCAATCATTACATTTACAACCTTTGCAGGTCTATAAAACAAAGAAAAAGCAAGATCATAAGCACCACAGAGGTTTCACTTTCATGATTGCTTCCCTTAACCAAGCTGCTTGTCCCGATTGTGGTTGTTAAATGAGAATTTTCTGTATTTAAATTGAGGAGTTTATAATTTTGTGATACAGGCAGCACCAAATTGCTTGGCACCTCTTTTGTGAAGATGGGAGCAGGGATGCGTGTGGCTTCAAGTTGGTTTTTGACTCCTGGTGACTGCCCGGACAGGTCCTTGAATTTTTATCAGCAAGGCTTTTCAGAAGTGGTTTGCCATTGCCTGCTTCCTAAGGTTGAGAAAGAGGAACTGGTCCAGGTCACCCACCTAGCTTCATGCTTAATATGGGACTAGAACTCACAGTCTCCCAGTTTCTAGACTGATGCCTTAACCACTATACCAAGCTGGTTTTAACTGGATAAGTAAAGGCACTCAGATTCTGTAAAATCATGGAGGCTCTAAGGTTTTAGGTGTAATTCTGAATTACCTCCTCTGATTCATCCAACCACGGTTTTCTCAATCTCCCCTCACCTTTCAGCCCCCTTTCATTCTTCTTTCATATATATTTTGTAGGCAAATTCTCTCTGTAGTCACATTCTGTGTGACCAAACCATCTCATTATATGTCTTTCATACTGGTTCTTCTCTTGTGTATTCAGTTTATAATCCAGACATGTCAAATACATTAGAAACCGGCTTTAAATTGATTCAAAAAATAGAAGAATTTGGTGAGGTAGCTGGACTTAAGATTAATAAGAATAAATCCAAATTAATAACCCAAAATCTTACAAAGGCACAGGAAAGTGAACTGGAAGATAAAACAAAGATAAGTATAACCAAGAAAATAAAATATTTAGGGATCTGGCTTACAGCGAAATGTTCCTCGATTAAGGAGGACAATTATGATAAAATATTACACCAGATAAAAAAAGATTTAGAAAATTGGGAAAATTTGCAAATTTCATTTTTAGGGAGGACCGCTATGGTCAAAATGAATATATTGCCAAAAATATTATTTCCTTCCAAGTTATTCCAATAAAATTAAGGAAAACATTCTTTCAAGAATTAAATAAATTGGTCACTAAATTTATATGGCAAAGGAAAAAACCCAGGATTAAATTAAAACTCTTGCAAGATATGAAAGATAAAGGGGGATTGGCGTTACCAGAGTGGGAAATATACTACCAAGCATCAAGCTTAACTTGGCTAAAAGATTGGATGTGTTGTATTAAAGTCTTCATCCTGGCGACTGCTTTGGGAAGAAGGTTACAGTTTATTGAAGAGGCAGAAAGATGGTTCTTGCAGGAAAGAGCAGAGGGAAGAAGAAGAGGCTGAGCACATGGGCAATAGGTTTTTATACCCCCTCTAGCCTTTTGTTTGGAATAGTTTCCTGTTCCTGGCATGAACTTTGAGGCTATTTCTGAGTGTTTTTCTAGGCCTTGATATCTGTGATTTAATCCTATTATCATATCCTGCTTCCCTGGGGATGGGGCTGATGATTCCTAGAGTTTGGGTGGGGTATGCAGATTTTCTCTTTGTCTTCTTGAGTTCTCTGGCTCCAACTTTCTGATGGTTTTACATCTGCATTTGTATAGGGCTGGCTCCTGCTTGGGGCAAAGAGATGAGGCCAGGGTTGGTTTTTGGTTTTTAAAAATCCTTTTGAGGAAAAATATATTTTTCTGCCCTTTTAATATTTCCTTCTCTAGGCTAACTTCCCTCAGATGGATTTGAAAAATACTAGAGTTTTAACAATAGAAGGACATGACTTGCAAGCAGGGTGGCATGCATTCCTATGAGACGAAAAATATAAAATACACAGATACTTTCAAAGACACATAGTTAGGAATGCATTGCTACAGACTTGGGAAAAAATAAAACAAAAACATTATATAAGAATTCCAATGTGGTTATCCCCAACAGAAGCTCTGAAATACCCAAATCTACTGGATATAAATAAGATAATTAGATACAAGGAATTAGTAAATGAACAGGAAAATCTGAAAACAAAACAAGAATTGGAACAAGATATAGGCAGAGAGATTGATTGGTAGACATTTACACAAATTCAATCTAAATATACAGAGGACAAAAAACTATATGAAATACAAAAAGAGCCGCAAGAATTGGATAAAATTATACATGGAACAGAAATAAAATTAATTAGCAATTTATACAAATACCTATTGAGATATAAAATGGAAGACGAGGTTGTCAAAGACAAAATGATTAGATGGGCAAAAATTTTTGGATATAATATAGAATTGGAGAAATGGGAAAAAATATGGGAAATAAACATAAAATTGACTATGTCAGCGGCATTCAAGGAAAACCAGTTGAAGATGTTTTACAGATGGCATCTTCCACCAGCAAAGCTTGCCAACATGTTGGAAATGCAAAAAAGTACATGGAACATATTATCATTTATTGTGGACATGCCCAGTTGCGAAAAAATACTGGACTGCAATAAGAAGATGGATCGAAGAAATAATAGACCAACCCGTAGACTGGAAACTAGAGATCTTTTTGCTGGGTATTTTAAACAGAAAATATAGTAAAGAAATACGGTACTTAATTTTACATATAACAACGGCAGCAAGAATAGCATATGCATAGTTCTGGAAAAATGAGAATATACCATCAGAGGAAGAAGTGATAAGAAAAATCCTGGACTGTGCTAAGATGGACAAATTAACAAAAGAGATAAAAGAAAAGGAAGACACAGAGTACTATCTAATATGGAACAAGTGGTATGACTGGTTGGAGACTAGAAATAATAGAGGAGAATAAATGTGGAAAGATCGAAAGTGAAAATGTGTGTATAATAATGTATAATAATAATAATATGTATTATTCTTAGTATGAAGTATAGTATGAAGGAAGAAAAATGCAAATAAGAAACAACGGGGCAACAAGGACAAATATTCTAAAGAAGAATAAGGGGGGAAATGTAAATAATAGAAGATTACCGTTACGAAATCACTGTTAAAAAAAAGGGGAGGAGTATATACTCTGTGTGTGTGTGTGTTATGTTTTATTTTGTTGATTTAAAAATAAAAAATTAAAAAAAAAACAAAAAAACAAATACAAGGTCGCAGTTGGCTGTGACCACCCAGCCACACCCATTCTGGCCACACCCACCCAGTCAGCCATGACCATCCTGGCCACGCCTCCAGTCCCCCTCCCCGAGGGCAACTACAATGCTGATGCGGCCCTTAATAAACCTTTTCTTGGTTTATCATATACATATCCAAAGTAGCCCATTCTGACTGCATGCAATATTCTTTTAGATTCTGTCTGACATACTTTTAACTATCAACTACATGTAACGAATAAGCAGAAGCACACCCTTTGTACACAGCCATTTTCACTTCTTTTGACAAAACATTCATTGCTCACAACAGTCCAACAGTCCTCAACATACAATCACAATTGAGCCCCAAATGTATGTTGGTGAGACATTTGTTAATGCCCCATTTTATGACTCTTCTTGCCACAGTTGTTAAGTGAATTACTGCAGATATTAAATTAGTAACCCAGTTGTTAAATGAATCTAGCTTTCCCATTGACTCTGCTTGTCAGAAGGTTGCAAGAAGGGATCACATGACCTTTAAACCCTGCAACAGTCATAAATATAAACCTGTTGCCAAGCATCCAAATTTTGATCATGTGACCACAGGGATCCTGCAATGGTCGTTAAGAGTGAAAAACGGTCATATGTCATTTTTTCCAATGTTGTAGCTTTGAACGGTCACTAAATGAACTGTTGTAAGTTGGGGATTACTATCAGCAGTTGCACATCTTTAAATCTTTCCATTTTTTCCATAAACAAAAAGGAATAGTGTATTCCAGGATTGTACAAAAGGTTCAAATCTGAAACAAATAGAGCTTGAAACAGGATGTTAAAGCTGTTCCAGATATGTTCTGAGACAGAAACAGCCTTGTTTTAATCTGAAAGGGGATCAGTTTGAATTCAGAACCCTTCTGACGTGTTCAGAAAAACATCAAAGCATTTCCAGAACAGCCAATTTCAAACTTTAAGTAGCTGTTTCACAGCTCCAAACCAAGCATGTGTGTGCATGGGGGGGACACACACACAAACCGAAACACACACACAAATATAAGCACAAGCCAGTGCTTTTCTTACTGGTACAGGTCTGTTCCCAAGAAAGTTGAGGTCACTGTTCTCCCCAAAGAGGTAGCCTTCAGGATGTGTAGAGTCAAACTTCTCACCTCCCATGATGAAGTGACTGGCAAAGTAGCTACCTGAAAGAGAGAGCACAAAGTCTGTCAGAATCAAGTTGAGAAGGCAAGGTAATGATTTATAGGACAAAAAAAAAGCACTTCAGAGAACAGGGAATCAAGCATGGCCAAAAGCAAATCAGTAGAGTGTAGAGTAGTTCATAAAAATAAAGGGTTTAATTTCACACACAGCTGGCCCTTAGAATTGTGGAGAAATATTTCAGAAACGTCCTGCTCAAAGACTTGGAAGCCAAAAAAGCTAATCAGGAAAATAAGGTTACAGAAAGCCTACAAATCAGGGTTTCTGCAATTCTTTCCAACAGTGCCCTTTACCAGCCGCGGCCACAGGAGGCTTTGGTATTTTCTTCTGTGTAAAGAAGTACCATGTTGTTATCTATATGTGAAGTCCTATGCTTCTGTTTTCCCCCATTTAAACTATGAGATCCTTTGCATGTCTCAGGTGACCTGGCTTGAAGACATCCCATAGCCATTTGTCAGGAACACAGATGCATAACATTGTCCTCCACCCACTTCCAACCCACCGCAAAAGGGCAGTTCGTGTCCATCCACTTCTTGCTTCATGTCAAAAGTTGTGTTTTCCGTTCTTAGCCAGCAGAGAAACAGTGTTGAGTAGGCAGTTGGGAGAGGTCACTCTCTCCCCTCCAATTAGGGCCATTTGTCTTGGACTGCTAGGCAGTCTGCTATTCTTCAAAGGGAACTTTCTCACTTAAGGCCTGCAAGGTATGTTTCATGGAGTCCTTATATACATGAAAACATTGATGTTTAGAACACTATTATATGAAGAACAATTAAAGAACTTCAGCAAGTGTGAGAAAGTAATCTGCTTACACCTGATTCTCCCTGCCTATCATCTTGCAAAGAAATGAATGCAATGAGGCAGTGCTATTTTTACGTTTTAATCTCATTTTCCATATTTTGTAATAATATGGAAAATGGTATTAAAATATGAAATATTTATACTTTATTTTAAATATAAAGTATGAAATATGTTAGAGTTAAAATATATACCAGCATTTTCTGATATCACTTACGGATTTGGATTATTTGGTTGTTCTTTTGTTCTTTTGTTATTTTCCCCTTTTAATCCAAATGACAGGAAGGATAGCAAAATTGTCTACCATACTACTCTTCTGTAAGATTATTAAACCTCTGTCCAAAATTAGTACACAGGATGTCAGGCTGGAAGACAACCAGGTACTTCACTCCGCACCCCTTCTCTGTCCCGCTACCTATCAGCTAGGCTATTTTTTTGGCAGAGGCTCAACATCTTCCAAATAGGATTTTTAAAAAAGTTAGAATGGTACATGAAGTTTATATTATGACCTTCACATAATATGTATTTTCATAAATCTTACAACCACCGTCTAGGTAGGTTAATATTCTCATCTCCAAATTCTGCAAGATGACCTGGGATAGATGGATAGAAGACCACCCGTGTGATGAAGATGAGAATCAAAACTCAATTTCTAGATTCATTCCAATGCCACTATGCTTCACTTTACATTTTAAACCACTGTATTCAAGTCATAAATTATTGGCACACAATTATTATTTTCCGGGCCACATTCCTTCTGTAGTCCTTGGATCTTCCAGCAGATCACAAAGAAATGTGTGTGGTGGAGAAAATAAATGCAGCATATAAAATGGCGACTGCACCCGTTTTCCTCCCTGTCTTTTGGACATGACCAGGTTAAATCCAGCTCCTCTCTTTATCTAATCCTATCAGACCCAAACTGACCCCCAAAGTCTACTGTAAATCCATCTAAACAAAATAGAAACCTCCTCACTACCTCACAGTATGACTTAAGACAAGCCTTAAAAAAGGAATTGCAATATAGTAGAACCAACAGTCCATCCTCAATCAAGGATACTCCTCTGACTATCTTAAGATTCCATGTCTCCAGCTCTGCTGCTCTCCTGAAAGAGCTACTTTGGCTAACAGCAATAATCTCACTTCCTCAAAAGCTGCCAACAAATCCTTAGGATTTCCCATCGACAGTCCTCAAATTTCTATAATATCCTTTGCTTTTCTATCATACAGGGTTTCTCGTTCTTGTAAAACAGGCACACAACAATAAACATGGTTCTTTCTCCCCAGTTGTGCTCTATACTTTTGAATTTTCCATAACAATGTGAATCCAGCAGAGCCTTCCTCATGTATGTATCTCTCTCCTACTGCAGTCAGGTTTGCTTAAAAATTTTCACAGAGCGCTTAGAGACTATGAAACAATATTCATAGGAGTTTGTTCTTTCAGCTCCAGGGTTCAGCTTTGTTGTTCAGGTTAACAAGGGACATCTCGGCAAATGATTTTATAGCCTACTCCCAGGCTGGGATTCACCTCAAAACTATGCTAAATTTATCTGAAGACAACAATTATTAGCCTTGAAAAGAAAAAAAAAGCTGCCATTACATCAGTCTTCTCACACAAAATGGTTTCTCTTTTCACAAATGTCTTGATATCTGGAAAAACTGCAGAAGATACCATCTCTCTCTCTCTGTCTCTCTGTGTGTGTGTGTGTGTGTGTGTGTGTGTGTGTGTGTGTGTATGTACAACAGAAGATAGCCATTGGGTAAATATGCAAATTTCATGCAAATATTTACTCTCTAAAATGTTTAACTCTTAGACTTGCTTTCTCCCTAAATGCCACTGAAATTTCTGCATCATGCATTGTCCTAAGGAGAATGATAAAAAGAGTCTTACTGGAATTCACAAGCTGCTTCACTTTTAAGGCCCCGATGAACTCAGCAATCCGCAAGGGGTTTAAACAAGGGACTAAAGTTCATCCAGGGACAGGACACATATTCAGCTTTTGCAATTTGATATTTATTTGGAATTTAGTTTCAACTTCCTAGAAATACCAAGGTAGAATAAATTTTTAAAAGCTACCATATCATGGTAAAATATCTTGTAATTTGCATATTTAAAAATAGAGAAATATCAATCACATACAGGAAAGATATTTTGCACAGAATAGTCATTACCATTTTTCTTTTATCTGAACTACTATATTGTTATCTATGTCTTTTATAGATTACACTGAAGCAAGTCTTCTAAAACTTATCTTCAGCAATGCATTATCTGGGGGTACCTTAGGAACCACTGGGCATATGTTCTAAGCCAGAGGTCCCCACAAACCCTGGTCCGCAGTCTGGTACCGGCTGCAACCCATTGGCAGCGTAAGCAATGGGCGAGCACATGAGCACGTGAAGCTCCATTTGTGCAAGCATGGTGCAGGCATGTGAAGCCATCCCTTCTCCCTTTCCCCACCACCGCTTCTGGTCCAGAGCTGAAAAAGTCAGGGACCGCTGTTCTAAGCCATTACAATTCACTAAACATGTTCTGGTATTTACCAGAAACAGAATTTGTTATGAGCTCTTTAAAACTTCATATAAAGTATATTCTTAGCCACTTAATATGCCTTTTCTAAATTGGTGACGATTTTATTTGAATTAATAAACTCAATAAAAGGAGATATGTTGTATTCCTTTTGTGATGTAGTTTTAAAATCTTAAGTACCAATAATTAAATGTAGATGAGTTGAAATACCTGGCTTAAGAAAATGTTTCAAGTTTCAAGCTTTACTTGGAAATTTCATTTACCAAAGTAAAATATTGCGTGATGAATAATGCAGAGCATAATCTAATACACTCTTTAAAAGGTACAAATAAAAGAACTCCTCTCCCTGTAATCTAAAGTTTTTATCTATTTGCAATTCAGAAATCACCATCTTTTCAATCCCAGTTCAACAAAAGTCCATTGGGAGTTATCAGAAATATCAATCAAATAGTTTATCCTGATCAAATAGATCAACTTTATATTTCTCGCTTTTGCTCTTCACAATCTTGACTTTTAAATCATTCCAATGGTATTCTTTGGCATTCAAGAGGAGTTTTCAAAGCTTTTACCAATCTAGTCTGCAAATCCTTTAAAAGGGCATTGTCCAGAATTCGTCTCAGGTATTCCATGTCTAGACCCTTTTCTTGATTTGTTTTTTGAAATCTCATTTTGATAATCTCAACTTCATTGTCTTCCATGTCTTCAAACTATGTCAGGTAAACATTTTTTAAAGTTTTCTTCATCATTTTCTAAAAGTTTATCCACTAAAATCTGAATCCTTCTGAGATATTATTAATATCTCAGTCCAGTTTTCAAAAACCTCTTTAAGGTAAGAAAAAAATATAGCTGGCTAGCTATTTTAACTCTTTTCTGCTGGTCTGTTGGTTCCCTCTAGTATCCATCCATCCTTCACAAACCTCAGTTCCTAATATGGGTTTAGTTCCATTTCAGACATTTCCCAAGATTACTTAATTTTCCCCACAACAACAAATCTGTGAGGTGGGTTTAGCTGAGGGAGTAACTAGCCCCAAATCACCCAGCCAGTTTTCATGGCTAAGGCAGGATTAAAACTCACTGAATCCTGGTTTCTAGTCTTAACCACTAGACCAAACTGTCTCTTCACCGTATATCCATAAAGTGGCTAAAATGAGTTTTTCTGAATATGACTAGAGTCGTTATTAAAGCTTTGCTGCTGCTGAGAGCAAAGATGTCATCTGCCTTGACTGCTGACTTCCAAACCCATGGGAGATGACTGTTTTACGGTCTCCTCACTAAGAACTGCCATTCAGAGCACTTGTGGGTGTTCCCCAATTTCTCCTTCTCTGGAGAAATTCAAAACACCAGTCTATCACCACTTTGTCATTCTTCACAGCGATCGTTGTCTCTACTCATTTGCAGAGATGTATTCAGTCAGCCATAACTCATACCAGAAGCCAAGATAATATTATTCTAAAATGAAACAATATCTTAAATATGGCAAGAAATATCTTGCCATATTAACTTAAGATAATATATTATTTTAAAATAATATTAATTGTATATTAATACGTATCTGTCTTTGCAGACAGCCAACCCAAATAAAAGTTACAATATTAATTCCTTCTAATTACAAAGGCAATGCATACAATTTATTTTTGTATGAAAGAATGAGATTCTTTAAAAAAA